CTCAAAAATAAACACAAAAAAATTTTTTTTAAATTAATTGAATGTTTTCATGCACTATCTTGCTAGCTGGACAACTCGGAGGAAGGCTCTCAGGGTTCAGTACTGTTACAGCTCTGTCTCAGTCCTGCCTTTGCTCTGGTCTTGGAGGTCCACATAGCTGGCCCTCTCTCTCCAAGTTTACTCTGCCAGCATCACTCAGTAAGCATGAAGGAACATGCACAGCTTCAAAACAGTCAGAGACCCAGGACGATCTATTTTATTCTTCATTTTTTTCTTAATGTTCTCTATTTCTCAATTGTCCTTCTTGTTTATAATCAACAAAGCCAGCTCTGAAGACAAGAAGTCCTAAATGAATGTACTGGCAGAGCTGGTTCCTCTGGACGCTCTACGGGAGAATGTGGCCCAAGAGTCCCTTGGCAGCTGGATCCCCGTGGCATTCTGTGGCTGGTAGATACATCACTCTAAGCTCTGCCTCTTCACATGGCCATCCACCCTCTGCGTCTTTCTAAGCCTTCTTATCTATCCTTACATAATTCAAACCAATTAGAAGTCAGCAACCTGGGGGTACAAGGAAGTGTGGAATATGATGCTTCTGGAATTAACGCATTTGCACTTGTGGGATTCCAGAATGATGCTCTCCTCAAAGCTGTCTACAGATGAGCCCCAGAATCTGAGAATATGTTACCTTCCACGGTGAAAGGGGCATGACAGATCCAATGAAGTTAGGGACTTGGAGATGGGGAGTTATTCTGGATTATCCAGGTTGGCCCCATGAGACCACGAGTCCTTTTAAGTCAAAGACAGAGGCAACAAGTCAGAGGAGGGGTGACAACAGAAACAGAAAAAAGAAGGATGTGACTGCTGGAAGAAGGGGCCACAAGCCAAGGAATGCATGCAGCCTTTAAAACTGGAAAATGCAGGAAACAAGACTCTCCCCTAGAGATTCCAGAAGGAATGCAGCCCTGACAACATCTTGACTTGAGCCCAGTGAAGCCTACTTTGGACTTCTGACCTCCAAAACCATAAGAGAATAAATCTGTGCTGTTTTTAAGCCAATACATTTCTGGTAATTTGCTACAGCAGCCACAGGAATCTAATACTGTACCATGGACCCTTTAGAAGAAGAAATTGCTCAAGGTGATGCCACCCTGTGCATATCTAAGAGAATTGCTTCCAGCCTGGCTGGTTGATGATTTGGCAAGGGTCCATGGGTGACTTGTGCACTCCTCGTGCCACCATCACTTTGAACCCAATGAGTGGGAGCCAAAGGGAGCAGAGGCCATTGCATCAGACTAGCAGGGTCCGGCTTGCTAGGTTCACAGTTCAGGTGGCACCTGGTGTGGGACAGAATGTGCCGTCTTGGCCATGTCTTGTCTTGGCACTGCTTTCTCTTACAGGCTTCATGACACCTTTCTTGGTGCACAGGATGAAAAGGAATCCCACCCTAATGTGTTCCTCTTAAATCACAAAGGATCGTTGTTAAACCATCAAGTCAACAACCCCAGTAGTCTCCCCTAACTCCTTCCCCTCACGATCTGCAGCCTATCCATGAGAATGCCCCTGAACCCCGACCTCCCGGTATTGTCCAAATCAGAGTGTGTCGCCACCCAGTCCAAGCTGTGGTTTTCTCTCACTGGGATACTGAGGCAACAGTATTCCTTCTCCCCACAGTGAGCTCTCCATGCAGCAGACACCATCTTTTGAACAACACAGGTCAGAGTATCTTGCTCCCTGGACAGAAACTTTCTGATAGCTCATCATGACACAAGGAATATAATGCAAGCCCTTCACCATGGCCAAGCTGTCTTCAACATCTGGCTGTCTTGTCTCATCTTCTACTACTTTTCCTCTTGGTGAACCACAACTGAGCCTTCTTATTATTCCTCAAACACACTGTTGCTGCCTTCAAGGCTCTGCCCCATTGTAACACTTCAGAGGTGAGATCTGGAGGGCTGACTTTGTAGGAACTGTCTGGCAATGCCAACAGCCCGAAACCTGGAGGCCTGGGATCCTGTGGGAGAAGGGGATACATCTGGTGGAGGTGGCGCTCGGGACAGCCCCATGGAGGGGAGCAGAGAGGACCATTGCACCCTGAAGCCAGCTGGTTCACCAGAAGGCAGCCCACAAGGCCAGAGATTCACCCACTTTGTGGTGGGTACCACTGTTGTCTTTTATTACTGAGCGCTATTCTGCTGTATAGAAGGATGGTTTGTTCATCTATCACCCGCTGGGGGACTCCTGTGTTGTTGCCAGATTTTCGTGATGATGAACAAAGCTGCTACAAATATTCAGGTACAGATTCTTGCCTGAGCATCAACTTTGTTTCCCCAGGGCAAATACCTAGAAACAGGGTTGCTGACTGACCTGGTGAATATACATTTAACTTCACATCAAACTTCCCAACTACTTTCCAGAATGGCAGTACCACCTTCCTCCCTCACCAGCAGTGTACAAGGGCCCAGGTGCCCTGCATCTTTGCGGGAGGATCTGTCAACATATTCTATTATTTAGCCACTTTATTAAATGTTTGCTGGGACCTCACTGTGGTTGCAAATTATATTTCTCTAATGATATTGAGCATCTTTTCACCTGCATATTTCTGGTAAAATGTTCAAATAATGCTTGTGGGGGCGCACCTGGGTGGCTCAGTTGGTTAAGCGGTTGACCCTTGGTTTTGGCTTAGGTCATGATCACATGGGTTCATGACATCGAGCCAACTGTCAGGCTCTGCACTGACAGCCCAGAGCCTGCTTGGAATTCTCTCTCTCCCTCTCTCTCTGGCCTTCCTCTGCTTGTGCACACTCTCTTTCAAAATAAATACATAAAAGATTTTTTTTGAAAATGCTTTAGGCTATTTCTTTGTTTGGGTTGTTTCTTATTTTTGAGATTTCAGAGTTCTTTATATAGTTTTGATTAAGTCTTTTGTCAGGTGAGATGTGAAAATGTTTTATATTGGCTTCCTTATGTTTTCCACAGAGTATAAGTTTTTACATTTGATGAAGTATCATTTATCACTTTTCCTTTTACATATCATGTTGCATTTGAGAACTCTCTGCCTAAATCTGGGTCATGAAGATTTTTATCCTAATTCTAAACTATACATATATAGTTTAATGTGTATACACACACACACACACACACACATTCATATACACACACACACACACACCTACACAATCAGTTTGTCTATATTTTCAGAGAATTCTTTTGAAATTTTACTGGGAATGTGTTAAATCTGTAGATTGTTTTGGGGAAGTGTCTTCCAATCCATGAACATAGTATGTCTCTCCATTAATTAGTTCTTTGATTGTTTTAAACCCGTGTTTTATAGTTTTTGGCATACAGACCCTGTTAGATTTACATTTGATTTATCTCAATGTTCACCCTCTATGACTACATCTTTATATCCTGATAATATGCTCTAAGAGGTTTTTTTGTAGATTTCTTGGGATTGTCTACATGGACAATCAGAGTGTCTATGAAGAGACACAGTACCATTTCTTCCACTCTAATATAAATGTCTTTTATTTCATTTTCTTTCCTTACTGCACTTGTACTTCATTCATTCACTCATGTGACCAAGTGGCCCAGTTCTGCCTGAGCACTGGAAGTTCACCAAATAACATGTTCTACTTCCTGCCTTCCTAACATGTAGTGGTTAATCCCACATATAGTAACCATATGTTAAATTTGCATCTGGCTCTGTTTCTATGTATGATTAGCGGAAGAGTATTGGCAGTACACCAAGCAGAAACACGGAGGCACCCAGGGAGTTGGTCTTTACGCATGGCAACAGTAAATGCTGCTTCTCATGTCTGACCTCTCTGCTCAGAGTCCCAGAAGAATAGGTCTGGTACAAAATCAAGCACAGATGTATATCCTCATAAATGATAAGGAACATTTCTTTCTTCTGAGACATGAGGGAAGGAAGAGCTGACTGATAAAGATAGAGAAACATTATGAAGTGAGGAAAAGAAGGCAGGGTATTCATTCTTGGAAGCTGGAGTTATAAATGATATTTCTTAAGGTAGTCACCAACTATCACCAAGGCAAACAGTGCTTTGGGTGGGGGGAGGTAGAATTTCAAACTTTTCCACTTCATGACTTTAAGCACTAATGTCACAGATGCCTTGAACCAGAAAGCTGCAGGGTTAAGTCGTGACACAGGAAAACGACCAGAGCCGTTGTTAAAAAATCCATCTATAGCTTGTTTGTGTATTACAGTTCTACTGGTTTAAATTAACACAGTATTAACATAACACATTGTTTGGAGGAGGAGGAAGGAGCGTGGATGTGTAGCAGATGCAAGAGAGTAACACCAGTAACAAATGACTGCACTCTCACCAGACCTCAGTGCTTTGGAGTGACCATAGGTTGAAGATCAAAGTAAAAATAGAAAGAGTAACAAACAATCTCAATTTCTACGAATAAAGAAAACAATGATTAAAAAAAAAAACTACCTTTAATGTACAGAAATGTGGGCAAGTAATGTTACAGATAGATATGCGTAAGATAAAACATATCCAAATGGGATTAAATGAACATGTTTCATCCTAAGTAAATCCATCTGTAAAAACAATCACTGAATTCTTTTGGCTTTTTAAACCATCACTAACATAGGTCACATTATTTCTTGGTCAAACACAGAAGAAAGTTCATTTGACTGTGAGAACACGCATTTTGTGTTTTCATTCCGAGCCTGTTCTAATCTTATTTCTGCAGTGGCAGAGGTCTGTATCTGGACGGCCACTCTTGGGCTCTCGGTCCTCACTGTACGTCTGTTCCCAAGGGATCAGCAGTGGCTGAAGGTGGAGAGCCAAAGGGAGAAGGGTTCAAGGACAGAACAGGAACACGGGATTCACTGCTCATAAGAAAGTGTGCAAATTAGCACAGGTACGAATCTAGTGACCTAGTGTCACCGCCATGGGATGACCGCTTCTAACCAAACACCTTCTGTTGTAACACATGCATGTCTGCCATTTGCTCACACTAGGGCTTACCCATTTGTAAGAGAGAACCCAGCAGCCACGGGCAATTCCCAGTAGCACGTTCAGGGTACGCAGCGGCTTGCCGGCCAGCACGTGGGTAGTAGTTTCACACACTTCCTGGGCAAGTGAAAAGCCCTTCAATGTGTTCACAACTTGGATGACGATGTTCTGCATTCTGTTAAACAGGAGAGAAAAAAAAATCAACAAAACGAATACGTTTCTTACATATGAACAATAAGATGATAAGACTGAATCATAATTTTTAAAAACTAGAAAAACTAAAGTTCTACACAGATCTCAACTATGGAACTCATGCTTTAATTTCTTTATAGTTTATCACTTAACATTTGAGGAAATTAAAAAACTTCAGCTCTCAACTACAACTTTCTACTTGAATGGCTGAGAAAACTGCCCAAGGCTGTAAGTAGCTTCCCACGTGCCCACGGGCAGGGACGCCACCAGCATCACAAACCCACCTCCGCTCTTCCCACCACACTTCCTTCTCAGACAGATGCGAACCAATCCACGCATGGTCAGGACCAAGCTTATCACTTGCTGGTTTTATTTGGTATGTAACATTCATTTGAATTCACATATAATTTTGTTTTGTTTTGTTTTTTTCTGAGAATGAGGGAGAAAAGGGACCTTTTCATTACATTATCGGATCAAATCTTAGGGCAAATTTGGCAGAGCCTCCTTATTATTTCAAAGCCTATTGTTGTTTATCTTCTGGTCTGTCATTCCATTAGTGCCTTAAGCACCTTTAGAAAAACATATATTCCTCCCATCTAATTTCCTCACCAAAATGCTCACCATTCTCCCTGTCTTTCCTTTATGACCACCTTTCTAGAGCCTTTGGTCGTGACACATTGTATTCTCCTAGCCCGCCCAGCAAGTTCTGGAAATCCCCAGTGAGATACAAAGGACACAAAGGGCATTCTGAGCCACACTATGACGTACACAGTGAGTTAAGAGATAAATTTCTCTCCTCTCCAAAAATTGTTATGAAGGGAAAGAGGTTGCTCTTGGACATGCTTGTACAGACTGTGTCTAACAGAGCCCCATCTACTTTACAGTGCTTCTGAGTTTTATCTATGGTCATCTCGAGTATGTCAATGTGCAAGACCCATTTCTTTGCATGTGAAATGAAAGGGCTGAAGTGTATCACAGTTTAAATTCTCAGAGATCCCTAGGGCAAAAAAAGATGAATGGGCCAAGGCCCAGGCCATATCACCACTTGGACCAGAGAGTCTGTGCTTACTGGGGCAATGGAAAATACTAAATTTGGGGGAAACACAAAGAAAACAAAAGCAATATAGAAGTGAAATGCTCTAAGCCACATGTTCCCTGGAACCCTTCACTTCTGCATATTGATGATTTTCCTTATTCTGAGTCTGGCAGCGGCTAGCCCTTTGCTGGATGTGTTAATAACAAGTGTCTCTTCTACGCATGGCTTATCAATGTGACATCAGAATGTCTAGGTCTTGCTCTTAACTTCAGACAAGAAGTATACGTGGGGGGAAGAGGGGAATAAAAAAGAATATGGCCTAAATGAAAAGTTTCATTTTCAAAACTTTGATTGAAAAAATAACCATTTACTAATATGTTTTATATTGGGAGCAAAACTACAGACTTTTAAAAATATTCCACCCACCATACTCAATTTTCACTCCCATATTAGACTATTTAAAATGGTCAGTACACTTCATAAGAGATTAGCAAAAATTGTTGAGTGTGCTCTTTTTTTACTAGCTAATGTATGGTGTCTGAACAATCAGTCCTTTTAATTTCATATGCCCTGGGTAGGAAAAGGACCCTGCAATAGAAAGTACTGCAAGCATGCACTTTTTTGCAGGCTACTTTTCATTGAAATGTCCCAGTGTTTTGATGAATGCCTGCAAACCTTAAAACCTATGATTGATACAAAAAATTTAAAAACACATGGTTTTCCCCTTTAGACAGGAATTCAAAAATTTGCTACAAAGAATATGGTGCTGTATTTTTGTTGGAAGTGCTATATACTGTGTTAAATGTTTAAGGAAGATGATAAGAGTGTGCCAAAAAGCTATTAACTCTTTTCACAAAATGTGTAGATAGCAGCTTTAATATTGTGGTAGAGAGCTTCTCACCAAAGTATTTCCTTAAGAACTGTGAGGGGATCAGTAAGCAATGGTCCATTTACTGAACTTTCACAGGGCAAAAGTGGTGGACACACAGAGCCCGTAGATATGAAGCAAGCAAGAAGAACACCCAAACACTGTAATACCTCTTAATGCTATCTAAACAACTCCCAAAGCCTTCAGTGCTGAACTGTTCATAGTCTTTTATTTCCAGGGTTCTGCCTATGCCAATATCAATTATACAGAGTAAGAACAACACAGTGCAAAGCTATGAACTGCATTACAAGCACAGCATCGCAGAACACGAGAGAAAAATCCAAAATTTTACATTGAGTAGAAAGTTATCAAAACAACGAATACTTACTCAGACGGCATGCTTGTCATGACTAATGTTCTTGTTGGCTACAGATTTCAAAAGAGAAGGAACAAAAAACAGTCAGAAATGTAAAAAACATTTTTTCCCACAGAAATTAACTTTAATACGTTTTTTGAAAAGTTACACCACTTAAAAATAAACATTTAAGCATATATCAAAAGAAAAAAAACTTCCTGCGGAGGAAAAAAACGGTGCAAGAGATAGAAAGTCAGTTACTTATCCTCAAACCAATCCAAAATAATCCAGGACATGAGGTAGAACGGGGGGAGAGGGGAATGCTTCCCTCCAGAAGTCCGTTCTACTGGTTAGCTGGCAGGTCTCCAAAGATGCCATCCTGCTTATGGACTCGCAGGGAAGGTGAGGGTAAGAAAGGCATGTTTTACAGGTGGAAGAGCCCGTTTTCCCTGCCTCGGTCGTGCATACACAGTAACTCTTAGGCTCCTGCTGTGGGTAAGTCAAATGCTTTAACCTCTTGCACAGAGGAGCTCAGATAAAGACATTGCTTATTTACGGGTCAGCATCTGCTATTAACTAGAACTGTAAAGGCTTTTTTAAATGAGTTTTTAAATACTTCTTTTATTTGCATAAGAAAAACATACTGACAGCAAAACATATATATGTTATATGCTTTGGAAATCTATTGTTAGAAATATAAATTCCCCTGTAATTCCACCAATAAGAAATGACTACTGTTTAATAATTTGATATATATTCTGCCCAATGTTCTTTCCATGGGAGGGTGTGTATATATGTATTTTAAAAAAATGGACTCACTTTACTCATACATTTTTGTAACTGATATGCTGTATTTCGAATGCAACCCACTGTGTATCATAACCATGAACTAACCATTGTACATTTACTGCGTCTTAAGGGAGCCAGCAAATAAACAGGAAAGGAAAAGGAGGCATTCAGGGGACTCCATGTAGACACACACCAGGGAGTCAAAGGGGCCTGCACTGTGTGGGTGTATCTGGGGAAGGTAGAGGAAGAAGAATGAAGAGATAATCTGGATCACAAAGATTCTCAAAGGAAGAACTCAGAGAGGCGACAGATGTGCAAAGTTAGAGGTGATCGTGATCTCTTTTCAGTTACCCCTGCAGAAGAGTCTACTGTAATTTGCATCTGTTTTGGATACAAGGGAACAACTATACCACGGCTTTGTGGGCAGAGTCTGGAGACTCAGAAGCCTCTCTGGGTGTCTCTGATCACCAAGGGAGATTCTGGCTGGTACCTAATCATGATCTTCAATGTTATCCTTGAATGAAAACTATGCAGGCCCAGTGATGTAATCAGAAAGACTACTTTCTTCTGTAGAACCATCCAAAAGATGCCAGGAGAGTGTCATCTGTGAAAATGATGAAGGGGAAGGGAAAAGGAAAGCCTCCTGACTTCTACAAGGCTAGGCTTCCTCTCCATGGCTTTGCCCTTCTTTGCCTGTACCCATTCTCCAGGCGATCTTTCACACGACCTCATGGCTTTACATACTAGCTGCATGCTGACAGTTCCCAATATCATATTACTAGTACAAACCTATTCCCTGATGCCCAGACTCAAATATTCTACTGCCTAAATGGGAAGGAAGTCCATCTGAAGGTCTAATCAAGATCTCAGATTTAACATGTCCGAAACTAAGATACTGTTTCGGCCAGGCAATAGACAACAAAAATAAAATAAAATAAAAGACATCCAAATTGCAAAAGAAATAAAGCTATCTCTATTCATAAATGAAATAAGCTTCTATGTGAAAAATGCTGAAGAACCAAGAAAAACTGTGAGAACTCATAAATAAATCCAGCAAAGATGCACTATATAAAAAGCTGTGTGCAAAAATCAGTTGTACTTCTGTATATGGATAATGAACACTCAGAAAAAAAATTAGGAAACAATTTCATTTATAATAGCATCCAAAAGAATAAAATACTTGGGAATAAAGTTAGTAAAAGAGACACAAAAAATGTACACTGAAAATTTAAAGAACATTCATGGAAGAAATTTTAACAGGCCTAAATACATGGAAAGATACCCTGTGCTCCTACCCTGGAAGACTATTATAAGATGACAAAACTATCTAAAGTAGGTTTAATGCTTGTAGAAATGGAATAACATCCCAAAATTCATATGGAACTCCAAGAAAATCCAAATAGCCAAAACAATCTGGAAAAAGAAACACCAAGCTGGAAGTCTGACACTTCACAATTTCAAAACTTACTACAAAACTACAGTAATCAAAATTGTATGGTACTGGTGTAAGAAATGATATGAATACAGAATTGATAGCTCAGAAATAAATGTTTAATCTAAGGGCAACTGATTAAAAAAATTATTTTTACTGTTTATTTTTGAGAGAGAGAGAGAGAGACAGAGTGCGAGTGAAGGAGGTGCAGAGAAAGAGAGAGGGTGACACAGAATCCACAGCAGGCTCTAGGCTCTGAGCTGTCAGCACAGAGCCCAACGCAGGGCTCAAACCCATGAACCGTGAAATCGTGACCTGAGCTGAAGTAGAATGCTCAACCAACTGAGCCACACAGGCGCCATTAAGGTCAACTGATTTTTGACAAGTGAGTCAAGACCATTCATATGTAAAGAACAGTCTCTTCAACAAACAGTGCTGTGAGAATCAGATGGCCACATACAAAAGAATGATGTGGGACTTTCACCATATTTTTAAAAAATTTTTTAAATTTATAAGAGAGAGAGAGATACAGAGCACGAGTGCGGGAGACACAGAATCCGAAGCAAGCTCCAGGCCCTGAACTGTCAACACGGGCTCGAACCCAGAGACCATGAGATCATGACCTGAGCTGAGGTCAGACACTCAACCAACTCAGCCACCCAGGCGCCCCTGGACCTTTACCTTATACCACATACAAAAATTAGCTCAAAATGGATCAAAGACCTAAATTTAAGAGCTAAAGCTATAAAAACTCTTAGAAGAAAACAAAGGGGAAATCTTCATAACACTGGATTTGGCAATAGTTCCTGAAATGTGACACCAAAATCACAGGGAAAAAGAAAAAAATAAACTGGACTTCATCAAAATTTAAAACTTTTTTTTTTTTTTTTAATTTCTAGGAGAGAGAGAGAGACAGTGTGAGCAGGGGAAGGTCAGAGAGAGAGGGAGATACAGACTCTGAAATAGGCTCCAGGCTCTGAGCTAGCAGTCAGCACAGAGCCCGACGCGGGGCTCGAACCCGCGAACCGCGAGATCATGACCTAAGCGAAAGTCGGACGCTTAACCGACTAAGCCACCCAGGCGCCCCTAAAATTTAAAACTGTTATGCATCAAAAAAAACAAAACAAAACACTATTAAGAGAATGAAAAGATAACCCACAGATAGGAGGAAATATTTGCCAATCCTGTAGCTGATAAGGGTTTAATATCTAGAATATATAAAGAACTCCTACAACTCAACAAACAAAAGGACAAACAACTCATTTTAAAAATGGGCAAATAACATGAATAGACATTTCTTCCAAAGAAGAAAAGTAAATGGACAATAAGCACATGAACAGATGTTCCACATCGCTAATTAGGGAATTTCAAAATAAAATTTCAGTGAGATTCACCTTCATGCCTACTAGGTTGGCTGCAATTAAAAAACTGTGAAAAATAACAAATGTTGACAAAAAATGATGCCACTGTTGCGGAAAACAGTTTGGTGGTTCTCCAAAAAGTTTATCACAGAATTACCATACAATCAACAAATTCACCTCTAGGTATATACCAAAAAGGACTGAAAACATGGACACAGATGCTTGTGTAAGAATTGTCATTACAGCATTATCACAGTAGCCAAAAGGTGGGAATAGGCTACGTGTTAAACAATAGATGAATGGATAAATTTCATTTGGTGTTACATGCGATGCAATATTATTCAGCCATAAATAGTAATGAAGTTCTGATATATATCATGACTCTTGAAAACATGCTAAGTGAAAAAAGCATAATAAAAAATAAATATAATGTAAAAATAACGTAAAAATAAAATATTGCATGATTCTACTTATATAAAATATGTAGGATAGGTAAATTAGTCGAGTCAGAAAGTAGAATAGAGGTTCCCAGAGGCCAGGGGTGGAAAATGGGAAGTTATTGCTTCATGTGTTCAGAGTTTTATTTTGGAGTGAAGAAAATGCTTTGGAAATAGACCATGATGATGACTGCACAACACTGAACACGACCACTGAGCTGTACACTTAAAAATGGTTAAAATGGCAAATTTTATGTTATATATATTCTCTCACAAAAGAAAACAAGTAAATTATTGATCTTCTCTCCGAAACCCACTCCTTCCACAGCCTTGTTGGCTTAATGCTAATTCTATTCCTGCTCAAGTCAAGAACATTTTCATCATTGCTCACACCCCACATCCAATCCATCAATTTGTCTCATCAACTCAACTGTGCACATGTCCAGAACCTGGCCACTCCTCATCTACCCTATTTGAAATATGCAGTCATCTCACATGGATTACCATGAAAGCTACTTAAATCATCTCCCTGCTAAAATCCCCCAGTAACTAGAACAGTGACTAGCAGACAGTAAGCACTCAAAATACTTGTTTGCTATTTAGTATAAGTGGATGAATACAAAATGGAAAATAAGTAAACACATACTTCATATACATGAATATATGAATATAATCTATTAACCTATTCAATTAATACCACTCAAAAAGAGAAAATCATGGACATGATCCCTATTAAGTGTGAGTGAAGGAAGGTTAAACAGTTAAGTCAATCATAAGCCAAATAGTACCTTTCATCCTCAGCCGAGGGAGAAAAAGTTAGTTGTGTATAAGGAAACGTAAACCCCAGAATAAAAGTCTAAGTGAAAAGAAACAAATACACAGAAGGCAAAAAAAATATATATACATATATGACTTTTAGATGTGTGATACAGAATCTAGAGGATGAAAGGTGCATTCACATGGTCCAGCTACAGAACCTACGAGAGACAAGCTCTCCCTCGGGTACAATGCTAACAAGTGCCATGACAGACAGCACGTGTTCAGGTTGGGGT